CTAGTAGCCTAGGGAAGGAAATAGTTACAGATAAATAGAGAAGTAAAGAATTTGGTGAAAATATTTCAAAGGGTGAAACAGCCATAAAAACTCGATCCAAGAAACATAGTTCAGAAGTTCCCGTTAGGTACAAGGAATTGTCCACCACCAGAAGTAGTTATGTGCGTTCAGAAATGACAGAGTTTAAAATAAAAGGTGATGATGGCAGGACTGGACTGGCGCAAAGTCTTGACCGAGAAGTGGTGGAAAATTTTTAGTAAGCGTAAGTGGTCCCGTAACTAGATGGGTTGACAGCTTAGTAGAGGATATTGGGAGAATATAGACAATCCTGGTTTAGAACAGGAATCTATGGTATAGTAGAGATATATTCTTTGCCCAGCAGTAAATAGAAAAAAGCTGATGGTGAAAAAGTTCTCGATTTGGTTAGGTAACTGCAGGTCGAAACTCATGAAAAACTTACTAAAGGTACTTGGGCCCACACCACAATCTGCTAAATAAAAATCGATTAGGTTGGATGTCGATGGCATATCAATTGGATGGTTTTGATTCTATGGTTTTGATAGTTTTATATTCTGTCAACAGTTTTTAGTATGGAATGAAGAATGACAGTTGAGTGTTGCTGACATTACGATGGCTAAAGTTAGCAGACTTGAGACCCTGTTGCTAGTTCTCTTTTCTATCCCGTTTTAGCCACCTCCATTCCACACCAGGCGCCAACATTACTCTTAAACAGCATTCTCTTGATATGTTAATTCCTTCACTGAATAAATAATTCATTTGTCTAAGAACACAGAGCAAAGATACTACCCGCGCCGCTACAGAGACGCCTTTTAATGTTCCTACAAAACAAGCGTGTCAGTGGCCGCCATCGTTACAAGCTCAGTTCGCAGGTTATGATGATTCAATGTCATAGTCACATATCGGGATCGGGAGGTAAAATATTGATTAATATTTTTAAACTTATTAATTAAATATGTGAAATGTACGCTAGTGGCAACACTGGAGAGAGCCTTGAAAGGACCTCCCATACCTACAAAAAATTGGCGATAAGCAGATTTGATTTACTATGGGAGGTTTAATTTATTTTTCATATTTCGGCCTATGTTCCATGAGGAAAGCTTTTTAGTTTTATGTGTACCTTGAACTACTTTCACCTTTATTTTTGTTCTCTCTCTCTCTATCTCTCTTCGTGTGGGACATCGAGTCGTTCAACGACCCGATGAACCCTGGTGTCAGAGTTTTTCAACCGCCTACTGCAAGTAGCAGGCCTCTGACGTGGCTGATATTTGTTGTTCTGTAACACATTGTATCTAGTCCAGTGGATTGACATGCGGTACCTACTGTCCTAAAGCTGTTTCTAGCAGCGGCGCGAGTGACATATTTGCTCTGTGGACAAAGACACATCACTCGATGTCACCGCAACGCCTTATCTCGACGACATAAGGTTCAATTTGCAAGCTTGTGACAAATGCGAGAATTACTGAAGTTGTAAGTACGTACATTGATTTATGTTTAATTCTGTATGATTCAGTGTCTCAGTGTATTGTGCGGAGATTTAATTAGAATGTGTCTAAAGTACTTATGGAGCCTAAATTCACGCAGTTTGTCTTAATACTGAAAGTTTACTCACAAGATTTAGATTACAAGTAGGTGTAAAGCTAGAATTGTATATTCCTCGATTAAAAGGAGGTACTGAAAATAATAATGCTACAAACAAGTTGAAGTGGTCAAAAAGAATGAAATTGTGGATACTTACTTAAAACTACAGATAAGACAATTTGAAAAACCATAATTGCGATTGCATGATACATATTATATTAACTGAGCCTATAATAAAAATAAAACTAAGAATAACATTTAAGTATTCTTTCAACATACTGAGACGTTGTCGTTAAGAATTACTTGGCTCTATGGAAATGGGACGTGAGACGTAAGCCGTGCGACATCGCGACGCTTGAAACCGTTTCCTAATAAAATGTATGAAACAGAAGGTCCAAAGCTACACGCGTGAGACGCGCATCGCATCAATGACTGCTAATGATCACTTGTCTGACAGATGTCATCTTACGACTTACTTCTACTTTGTGAAGCTTGCGTTTTAGTGTGGTCTATAAAATAACAGTATTCTAGATTATATGCGGGTCAAATCGATAACCTCCATTTTTTTACAACTTTACCTCCCTACTTACCTTGAAATACTTATAACCAACTCCGACACTCACTCGAACACCTTCCTATCTATCCGGCCCTCGTAAAGATTCAATACGGTTATCCTTGCTACCTCTGATGTCGGGGGAAATTGGTCCTTAAGTCCTCGGGGTAAGGTGAGTCTCACACCTGAAGTTACTTAGTGCAAAAAAAAAGCATCCTCCATAATAAGTGTAACAGAGACAGATGAGTCTGTCAAACAACGCAAGCTTATGCGTTGCTTTTGCGTCAACATCCGTTGTAAAGGGTGGAACACCCTTGTATTGTATGGGTCCGTATGAGGCACGGCATACCGCGGTACACGCGTAATGACGTGCACGTGCACCCAAACGCAGGGTAGTGTCGCATCTTACACCATCTTATTCATTACAACCGGTACGCTCGTCATCACGCGCACGCATACATCCTGCACACGGAGGCGGTGTGTTCTGCCTTTAATTATGGGAATTCTTCTGACAGACGCATGCGTTACAAATTCGCTGAAAACGCGCAGCAACAGACTTGAAGTGCGGGAACCGCCTGACGGAGACTCAGGTAGGTAGGAGTAAACGGTCCATAGGGAGTTCTGATACTGTCTCCGGGCTGTGATGAAATGTTTATAGATAGGTAGGTATGTATGGTTTAGTTGGATAAAGAGAGAATGGTATTTTCCCGAGGGAATTAAAATAAGAAATACATACATGTCGCGCCTATAATATCCCTTGCGGGTAGGCAGAATGCAAAAGCTGTAAAAACTGCCATTTTGAGAGTATCAGAAGACTGTGTATCACTATAGTGACAGGTTGCCAGCCTGTCGCCTAAAAGTGCAATACACTTCGACTCTCAAATCCCTTAGTTGCTTCTTGAGACACAAACGTGAAAGATTGGGATGATGCTATTCTAAACTGGCACCTCACGAGATAGCCGGCACTACACGGCAACACTTCAGTTAGTAAGTATAGATGCAAATTGCCATAAAACCACAACACAAAAAATCTAAATACCTTGACCTTCAGAATTCATTCTGGGAGCACTTTCCTGTAAACCAAATCTTTCAATCCCACTTATTCGTTACCGTTTTAAATCGAATTTCCGGAGTACACCGCAAAAAGTGTCGTGTCCGGGATGTGAACCCGCGTCCCCTCGCGCTCCGTCACTGTCGGCCGCGACCGCCCGCCGATACGTCTCCCGCCATCTTTGTACCCGCACTACAGGGACCTGGCCAGGTGGAAAATCACCTGTAAAAGCATGTGATGCCGTCTTAGGATAGCATCACCCCATATCTTACCCGTGGGTTTCGTATGAAGCTGCTATGGGATTTAAGAAATGTGTATTGCATTATTAGGCGATAGGCTGACAACCTGTCACTATGGCGATACACAGTCTTCTGAATTACTCTCAAACTTTTGTCAGACGTGGTGTAAATGGTCGTTTACTCTCTGCCTACCCCGCAAGGATATAGGCGTGAAAATCATATGTAACTAAAGGCACTGTAAAATCCTATTGAATGAAAAAAGACGACCTGCAAAAGCTCTCGTTTTCTATCTATTTACATACATAAATTCATACATCACTTTTATATTCCATGCGGAGTAGGAAGCGCGGAAACGCGGCCGTATGCACCACGTCTGACAAAAGCTTAAGAGTCACTCAGAAGACTGTGTATCACAATAGTGACAGTTTGTCAGTCTGTCGCCTAAAACTCAACTCTGCTACTTTTTCCGACACTCACGCGAAAGATGTGGGGTGATGCTATTTTAAGCCGGCACCACATGGCAAGTTGTCATAAAACCACGACTGAACATCCTGAACATCTTGTCCCTCACTTTGGTACCTTTCCTGAAAACCAAATCTTTCAATACCACTTAACCGCAGTGCCGTTTTAAATCGAATTTTCGGAGTACACCGCAAAAAGTGTCGTGTCCGGGATGTGAACCCGCGTCCCCTCGCGCTCCGTCACTGTCGGCCGCGACCGCCCGTCGATACGTCTCCCGCCATCTTTGTACCCACACTTCAGGGACCTGGCCAGGTGAAACTTGAAAAATTACTTGGGATCTAAGCAGGTGAAAAATCGCCTGTAAAAATACTGTAAAATCTCGTTAAATACAAGAAAACGACCTGCAGAAACTCTCGTTTTCTATCTGCAATCTAAAATTATAACACCGAAGCCAAAAAGAACAGATTACCAAGCCCTACTTTTATTACAATACTAAATTAGTAGGACAAGCACTTCGATTAAACTGTTGTTCCACTTGATGACAAAGAATCTTAGTATTTTTTCATTCATTTTTGCCAGCTCAGAATAGCATCACCTCATATCTTTCTAGGTGTTTAGGCAACAGACTGACATCCTGTGACTATACACAGTCTTCTGAATGACTCTCAAACTTTTGTCAGACGTGGTGTAAATGGCCGTTTTTTACAGTCGTTTACGCTCTGCCTACCCCGCAAGGGAAAAAGGCGTAATATATATATATATATAAATTGTATGTAGATATGTATTTTCTGTACAAGAAATAATAATGTTTCAATAGGCTTTATTTTTTGTAACCCAAGTTCGTCCCTGTACCAGGTGAGTCCCAACCGATTTCTCCTGTATTTTACTTTTCACTGGGTCACCGGGGACGTGCCTACAACATAAACCTTGAACACGTACGGGCACACGCCACACGTAAATGTCAGACTGTTGCTTTGTCCGAAACAAAGTTTACGTGTAAGAAATAAACTAAACTCTTAAGTAATTACGTGACTTAAGTAATTTCATAGGTGAAAATCAGAATTCGTGAAAGATTAAGGAAAACTTGCAAAATGTTCACCGCAGGCTGGATTTGAACCAGCGACCTTCGCCATATTATGTACTGGCGGCGACGCCTCTACCAATTGTGCTACAGCGGCTCACTCCAAGGTTACGTATTAAGCAAGTGCATTTGACCGCTAACGCATGGGCTATTGGGCTAAATTATATACCTACCTAATACTGGAAGTGTTTTAAAAATTTGGTATTCAATTCGTCGAAAGAATTCTTCACAACTGAAAACTGATTCGTGAAGAATTTTCCACGCGAAAGCATTCGCAGATTTCCTACGCATTATATTTGTAACAAAATAGTTATAATTCTGCTCTTTTCCCTTTTTCCTTTTTTTCCAACTAAATTCCCTAACATGTCACCACTGCAACAAACAAAGTTAGTATTGGCGGGTTGTGCCACTACTGACTGTGACCGACCGTACCGTAGGGCGTCAGAGTGGTCGCACAAAAGTTATCTCCGTGTTTCGCTGTGCACGTCCCACTGACAGGTTTAGTGGGCAGGAAACGGGTTAGTTTAGGGCTGAAGTAATGTGCTGTCGTGTGGTCAGAGGGATTCAGTATTGATTGTTTTAGGAGTTTCGGCAGGTTGAGTGTAAAGGTATTGTGTCTGTAAGATTTACTACCGAAAAACGCTTACCTACGTATCAATATCAATATACATAGTATAAAATGAAGTCGTTTTTTGCGTTATCTGTCTTTCCGTCGTGGTCGGAGAAATCCATTAGTTGAAAAACACAGGCCGCTAGTTGAAAAATATAAATTCAATAGGTATGCCCGATTATTTTAATATTTTATGTTTATCAGAATACGAAGTTTTGCGTAAGTTTGATACTCACTTGTATATATTTTATCAACGAAATTTTATACTATTTGAATACATACGACATCAATTACAAAGAATAGATTTTGTGACGTAATACTGCAATGCCAATCAAATATTCCTAAGCTAAATGTAGGTAGTTCCATAGGATTCAATGTTTAACAATCTTACTACCAAAAATATTAAGCAGCAAATGTTATGTAAAGATATTCCTTACAAATTTTCAGGAAATATTCTTATTCGCCGGCAAATACAAGGAAAAACATAATTTCCATCGCGTTCCCTACTTGTCGAACAGACTCATTACAATTTACAATGCCGCGGCACATCTCATCATATTTTATAAGCACCGAGTTCACTACACTGCCAGCAGGGATTAATTTGGCATACATTGCTGCTCACGGACTCTTCGAGTGGAACATCGAGTCATCCAATGACCCGATAAACCCTGTTGTCAGTCTTAGAACCGCTTACTACTAGAAGCAGGCCTCTGACATGGTTGTGAAGCGACCGCCGTCTAAGTAATCATAGACTCGTAACTACACCCGTAAATTAACTACTAATGTATATCGCATCGGGTTTTTTTATTTGTGTAGTTTAATAAGGGTTTCATAGGCGAGCAGGGCAATAAATATTAATATGCCCCTTGCATCCACCGCCGCTTAAAGGGCCTCGTCTTGCTGGTGGTTAAAAATGTTAAGGAATTTGAATTTATTTGGTGAGTAATCTGCGTTTACGGTATAGGGCTACCATTTGATAGGTACCACTTGGTTGGAGGTTTTTCATATCTTGCATACCTCAAAGTCTTTTTCAACGCTTCCTCTTCATCGAGTGAAACACTTAGTTGTCCAACGACCCGATCGATGCTTTGCTTCTTGCAATAATTAAATATTTCTCTAATATATTATTATATTGTACAGTGACTGTTAATATTATTTTGATAGGCACATTTGAAACGCTTTTAAACATGCCAAATTAAATGCAATGGTAATTTATCCATTTACATTAAACTAATATTGAGTATTGTTCCAGCCACGTATTCTAAATCGTAATGGTGAATTAATTTCATTGAAAATTAATTGATTGAACACTTGCTAAACCAGTTTTTTTTGTATTTTATATTTATTTCTAAAAAGCTGTGAACTAATAAGGTGGAGGACTGATAATAAGGACTGATAATCGGTGGAGCAGGAGAGTTCTCGAGTGGAGACCACGTACCGGCAGGCGCAGCGTAGGACGGCCCCCCGCGAGAGGGACAGACGATCTGGTCAAGTCCGCGGGGAAATGCTGGATGCAGGCCGCTTCTAATCGGACAAGGTGGAAATATTTAGGGGAGGCCTATGTTCAGCAGTGGACGTCCTATGGCTGATATGATGAATAAGGTGAGCGCTTTTACAATACGAAATAAAAGTTGTTCGCTAGTACTGAGTGAGACATCGCGCGCCGTTTCCCTAATTTGTGACATAAGTGTTAAGTCTCAAAAGGCGGTAAGTAGGTAGGTACCTACTCACTCTTATTCGCGTTCGATGAAAAATGCCGACAATTCCGTGGACCGGAACGTTTGAGAGCAAGACGGAAAAATACGATCCGCTGTGGCTATGAGTGGGATGGGATGAGCGACGTGCTAAGAGCGATTTCTCATGTCTGTGTCTTTCTTTTTTTTCTTTTCCTGTGGTACACCGCGTCGTTCAACGACCCGATAAACCCTGGGGTCAGAGTTTTTCAACCGCCTACTGCAAGTAGCAGGCCTCTGACATGGTTGTGTAACGACCGCCATCATAGGCAGCAACCGGGACCGACGGCTTAACGTGCCCATCCGAAGCACGGAACCATCTTACTTGCGGACAATCAGTTGGTTCAGCCTGCAATGTCCTAACCAGACTGGGAACAAATTCACAAAGTGATTAATATAAACTTTGTGAGTGACCCCACCGGGAATTGAACCCGGAACCTTTGCGTGCGCCACATCGGCTGTCTCTGTCAATACACTGACTTAGGAGGAATTATGCAAAGCCTACTAAATACCTACATGTGTTCCGTGCAGTTCAGTCAAGTTTAATACCTACTGTACAAGATATGACAATATCCAAGGATTTGGTGTCATATCTAAACTATGATGCATGCCCAATGAAGAATGATATATTCAATAGATAATTGACGCAACATTGGTGGTGGTGGGTGACTGGTGAAGTAGTGACATAAATCGTTAATTAGGGAATTATTAGGGAAACGGCGCGCGGCGCGCTTAGGCACGTATACAGATGGCTCACTCAGTACTAGCGTCAGTTTTGACGCCTACTGATTTTAACTGGAAATAATCGGAATCTCAGGGGAAGTCAAGGTAACTAAGAAGATGGTTGCCATGAACGTCATTAACTAAAATTAAAATTGGCTTAGATCAAAATTACTTTCTTGTATCAGATTTTACTGTTTTGATATTCTTATAATTTGAGATTTTTAACAAGTGACATTTGCGAAAATTCTAAATAGAGTCGGTGAAACTCTCTATTTTGTGTCTCATATTATACCTGTTTCTTTCCTCAAGCATGAAGTAAGCAATTCTCAAAGATTTTTCTTGTCCCGCTTGAGCTTATAGCTCGAAAACAAAAAAATATGGCAGATGAATGATCCCGCGTTTTCCGGCGAATAATTGAAATAATCCGTTTATGCGATGCCGAGTTAATGACCTCTGCGAAAAAATGCAGGAACTCCTGGCGAAAGAGAAATATAAGGTTAATATAACGTCTTTAAGTAGTAGGGAAATATAGGTAAGTACGTAAAGATTGAAGTATTCTGACCGCAGCATAGACTTAGGCAAAAGATCTTTGAATTTTATAACTAGCAATAAGTTTTTTGGCTACTGATATTTGTAAATTTCCCAAAGAAACCAAAAGATAAAATATAATAAAAATAAATAAATTACAGGCTTCCTGCAACTTTTTTAATTTTTAGGTATATGAGAACGGTTTTAAGTATTTTGTATCAATGTTGTTGCAATATCATTATAGCAATACAAAAGTGAATTTACTCGTAACACTTTTCCACACAATTTTGATAATTAACCAAAGCCGCCACGTGACAAACGCGTAGCCATCACGTAGCCTATTCGTAGCCACCGCGTAGCCATCGCGTAGTCTATTCGTAGCTACCGTGCAGCTAGCTTGCAACACAAATTGGGGAGCGTCTTAACAAATGGCTCACTCGGTACTAGCGACGAATATGACGCTTTCTGACGTTGACTGGCATTAGTTTGAATATCAAAGGAACTCAAGGTAACTTAGCAGATGGTTGCTACGAACGTCATGATTCTTGTATCGGTTTAGAATGGAGGTTGTATTACATTCCTGTGACAGATTTGGCTGTGTTTACCCGACTGCCTTAGAAGGAGGGTTATGTTTTTCGAGAGTATGTATGTATGTCTGTATGTATGTATGTATATATGTGGACAAACGGATAGTTAAATTTTGACATATAAAGTGTCGTTAAATTCGTCTCAGCAGCGCGAGTAAGTAATTGCCGCAGTCAGGACTTCGTTTTTTAATACATCTGCTTCTTCATCCTAGTATTTAATTAAGCAACCTTAACTATATAACAAAACAAGTGACGATTGTAAGAATACTAAATAGGGTGATCAGATCTTTCTGTAGGTAAACTCCCTATTTCAAAAAATCTGAGATACAATACTGTTTGTTATTCCTACTGTCTTTCAGGAGAAACGCGTGGATACCCAAATCGTCTTTAACAAATTTCTCGGAGTTTTAGGAAATTTTACGGCAGATTTACTTGGAATATTACTTTCTGCATGTTTCTGTTGTATTTCATTTTAATTTAGCGTAATGAATAATGCGCTGTTAGCTGACTAGAAATGGTAGCTTTTGTGGTTCGAATTTCTATGTCGGGTTTGAATTTATTTGCAGTTAAATTATTTACATCCTATACTTTTCTACTCCGTAAATATTTATCCGCGTTTAGGTTTTTTTTCTATTGGACACTGAGTCGTCCAACGATCCGATGAACCATTGTGTCAGAGTTCTTCAACCACCTACGACAAGTAGCAGGCCTCTGCCATGGTTGTGTAACAACTGCCGTCTAATTTGTCATAGATAGCAACCGAGACCGACGGCATAACGTGCCAACCGAAGCACAGAACCATCTTGCTTTTCGGAAAATCAAGTAGTTTAGCCTGCTATGTCCTAACGTGACTGGAAACAAATTCCCGAAGTGAAAAATGACAACTTTGTTAGTGACTGACCGTGAATTGAACCTG